CCATGGAACTAGGGTTATTTGGTGTTCCTATGTGGAGCTCTATTTTATAAAGATTTAAAAGTTCTTTTATTAATTCGTTATTAAATTCTGTACCCGAGTCGCTATTTATTTTCTGTCGTAAACCATAAACATTAAAGTATTTAATTAAGGCTCTTACAACTTCAGGGGTACTGCGATTTGGGATGTTTATTGCTTGCCCTAACTTACTGAAAGCATCAACAATTGTCAAATAATATTTACTTTCTGTGAATAGTAGATCTATGAAAACTTCTTAGAACGGTGTACTTTGACTCTGTGTTACTTTAATATGAGGTTTTATAGGTTTTCTTTCATATTTCATCTTTTTGCATTATTGGCAAGAATTTATTATAGCTGTTATTATTTCTTTCATATTTTGCCACCAATAATGCCGTTTTAATTTATTAAATGTTTCTTGGATCTCCCTATGACAAGTTTTACCCTCGTGATATTTTATCACTATCTCTCGTTGGTCCTGCTCGGAATCGGTTAAGTTAATAATTCTTTCAATACATTCAACAAGTTTGCAAGCTCCTTTCTTATATAATTGAATTAATACGTTTGAAAAAATTTTCCTAAAAGCTGGGTCTTCGAAATAGATGAAATATTTGTTTTTAAAGTCAACATATTCTTTCAGAAAGTTTTTAACTAATGTTTCATTATTTATTGGCATGTGAACTTCTAAAATCACAGAGGAAGTCTGCAGTCTGTGAACATGTACAGGATCGCCCCCGTCACTACATCAGATTTGATAGACCACAAATCCTCGCTAAAGAACACCGATTCCTTCCAAGGATGATTCGCGAGGCTATTGAAATCAAAAAACATCCTAATTTCAATAGAGAAGATGGCTGGGTGCTACCATCTGCTTGGGATCCTATAATAAATAAAATTAAATCCCAACCCAAGCATACAACTGCAAGACTCCATGATACCATAAGTTCATACTGTGTAGATCGGAACAAAAGTTAAATTTTAATCTATGGTAACCGCGGTTAACTATGACAGCTGGACGTTGAACATCTCAGTCCTTCCCGTGACCATGGGTGCTGTAAAGCTCTCGAAACGTCGGGTAAAAAAAAAAAAAAAAAAAAATAAAAAAAAAAGTTAAATATACACGAAGCAATAGATTCAAAACCGCATCAAATACTAGTTCATTCGTGGTTATCTGATAAATTTTCAGTCAAAGACATGTCTAACAGAAAGCAGCGTATTTTAGAAGTTCAAATGCCAATAAATAATGAAACATTAGTTAAAAACTTTCTGAAAGAATATGTTGACTTTAAAAACAAATATTTCATCTATTTCGAAGACCCAGCTTTTAGGAAAATTTTTTCAAACGTATTAATTCAATTATATAAGAAAGGAGCTTGCAAACTTGTTGAATGTATTGAATGAATTATTAACTCGATTCCGAGCAGGACCAACGAGAGATAGTGATAAAATATCACGAGGGTAAAAATTGTCATAGGGAGATCCAAGAAACATTTAATAAATTAAAACGGCGTTATTGGTGGCAAAATATGAAAGAAACAATAACAGCTATAATAAATTCTTGCCAATAATGCAAAAAGATGAAATATGAAAGAAAACCTATAAAATCTCATATTCAATTAACACAGAGTCAAAGTACACCGTTCTAAGAAGTTTTCATAGATCTACTATTTATAGAAAGTAAATATTATTTGACAATGTTGATGCTTTCAGTAAGTTAGGGCAAGCAATAAACATCCCAAATCGCAGTACCCCTGAAGTTGTAAGAGCCTTAATTAAATACTTTAATGTTTATGGTTTACGACAGAAAATAAATAGCGACTCGGGTACAGAATTTAATAACGAATTAATAAAAGAACTTTTAAATCTTCATAAAATAGAGCTCCACATAGGAACACCAAATAACCCTAGTTCCATGGCAATAGTGAAAAGATTCCACTCCACTATTAACGAAATATATAGATTAGCTAAGTACGATAAAACAGATCTTGATGCCTGCTCTGTGATGACATATGCGATAATGGCTTATAATAATAGTATTAATTCCGCAACAACCTTTACACCATTTGAAATTGTTTTCGGTACCACCGATTCAGGTAACGTCTTCGATATACATTGAGAACGTAATTTGATGCAAAAGCTCGTACAAGATCATAGAAATTTAAAGTTCTTCATGAATATGTAGCCGAAAAATTACAGACAGATAAGATTAAGGTTATATAAAAAAGAGGAGGTAAGGAAGTCCCAGAAATTAAAGAAGAGGACGATATTTTTATAAAAACTATTAGGACAAGAAAAGCAAAAGATAAGCCACGTTTTGAAAAAGCCAAAGTCATAGGGAAACCGGATCATAATATAATACCCGTTAAACTTAATAAGAGACAAACTAGAGTAGCTATAAAAAATATTAAACGTCCTCCACAGGTCGTGGCTAGTATTTCTGGCATTGGCAAAACTGTCCAACGGCCTAGATTTACAGAACCTGAACACCAATCCGGGGATAGCTCCTCTGAAACTTGGGATGGCAGTGATCAAGAATAACTCGTGGACCATTTTGAAAATATTAGATTTAAAATCGGTAGTTGAACAAATGGATATTAATACTGAACAATATAAGTGCGTAAGTAAGATTATTAGTAATAATAGTGAAGTTGGAGATGAATTTAGGGGGTTAATTAAGCAAATAGAAACATCCATAGATTTAACAAATAATAAAATACATCAGATTTTACCTATATCTAAAATAAGTAAACGAGCCAGTAGTTAAAGTTATCTCAGGTAATTTAGACGAAGAAGACGCTAGGCACTTCGAATCACAAATAAGTCAGGTGAATAATAGAGAACATTTGGTCGAACACCGAGTCACTCTGCTACAACAAGCATTTAACAAGCTTGTTAATGCGTCGGAAGACATAAATTCCAATGTCAATTTTTTACAAAATCAGGAAATAGATTCTATACTTCATAAGGAAAGGTCTCTAAAAATGTTGTAACAATATTAAATACTTTATATCAAATTTCGAACAATTTAGATATAATACAAGAAATAGACACAGCTATTGCTTTTAATAAATTACACACTTTACATCAATCAATCATAAATTCAACAGAACTATTAAATATGTTAAAAAATGTAGAAAAATATGCCAAATTGATTTACCCAGCAAATAGGGAAAATTTAATTAAGTTAGAAAGAAATATAGTAGTTAAATCGTATGTCAATAGGAATAACTTAGTCTTTGTATTAGAAATCCCACTAATTGAACCAGACATATACACATACTACAAAATAATACCAATTCCAATATCTAATTCCGATGTTACCCATATCATAATCCCATCATATCCTTTCCTATTGGTGAAAAGATTGAAATACCGATCAGCGGCGAGTCCCTGTGAAGAAATCGACGATGAAAAGTTCTTATGCCCAGAGGAAAGTCTCGCAGAGTATCCAGCTGAAAAATGTATTGAACAAATAATGCAGATGAAAACCAACCACAGTAGCTGCCAGCAACATAATATACGATTGGAGAATTTGAAAATTCAGAGGATCTTCAAGAACTACTATATACCACTAAGGACTTGATAATAACTGAACACTGTCCAGAACATGTACAAAAATACCAAGTGCAAGGCACATATATATCCTACCTAATCAAGAATGCAGAACACAGGTTGGGGACACATTCATCAAGGCTCCGAGATACCTTGCGAATATCAAACTTCAACTTACCACAATCGAGATGCCAACCGTACGAGAGGATGACATCAAGAAAGAAGCAAAACAGTTAGATTTAAGAAACGTGGACTTCAGTGATATAAAAGAACTAATAAATAGTGCTAAATTCAGTGATAACGAAATAAATACAAAATTCTTAGTTACAAGTGAAATCAGTTTATGGACCATAAGTTTATATTTCATTATAGTAATCTTTATAGTATTTACCATTTTTAAATTCAAATTATGTTATCGAAATTCTCCGAAGTCACTTAAGCCACATTCGGATAATTTTTCTCTCGAGGGGGGAGGAGTTAAGGCTGAGCACCCCTGCCAAATCTCATTCGTTCGCACATCATCAGCGATCCAATCTGGGTCAAGCGTATGCAGTAAATAAGCTTAGTAAATAGTTTTGTTGCATATAATTTAAGTATAAATAGACAATTGTAATCAGTTAATATTGAATATTGTAGTAATAAACTTCTTACTGTAACTCTGTCCAAATAAATAAAATATATTTTTTATTGAAGTCTGGTTCATTATCTTAATTCGCGCGTTGAGCAGAGTGTTTGGTGACGTCACGTACGTACGTACCGATGTCGTAATGCCAGAGGTCAGCGTAGCCGCGCAGGTCGCACTGGCCGCCGTCCACGTAGAGGCGCGCGACGAGCAGAGTGTTTGGTGACGTCACGTGCGTACGTACGTACCGATCTCGTAGTGCCAGAGGTCAGCGCAGTCGCGCAGGTCGCACTGACCGCCGTGCACGTAGAGACGCGCGGCGAGCAGAGTGTTTGTTGACGTCACGTGCGTACGTATCTACCGATGTCGTAGTGCCAGAGGTCAGCGCAGTCGCGCAGTTCGCACTAACCGCCGTGCACGTAGAGGCGCGCGGCGAGCAGAGTGTTTGGTGACGTCACGTGCGTACGTACGTACAGATGTCGTAGTGCCAGAGGTCAGCAAAGTCACGCAGGTCGCACTGGCCGCCGTCCACGTAGAGGCGCGCGACGCGCAGAGTGTTTGGTGACGTCACGTGCGTACATACGTACCGATGTCGTAGTGCCAGAGGTCAGCGCAGTCGCGCATGTAGCACTGGCCACCGTCCACGTACAGGCGCGCGACGAGCAGAGTGTTTGGTGACGTCACGTGCGTACGTACGTACCGATGTCGTAGTGCCAGAGGTCAGCGCAGGCGCGCAGGTCGCACTGGCCGCCGTGCACGCAGATGCGCGCAGCGAGCAATGTTTGGTGACGTCACGTGCGTACGTACGTACCGATGTCGTAGTGCCAGAGGTCAGCGCAGTCGCGCAGGTCGCACTGGCCGCCGTGCACGTAGAGGCGCGCGGCAAGCAGCGCGGCCGCGTGCCGGTGCCGCGCCGGGCCCGCGCGCGCCCCCCGCACCAGCCGCCACGACTCCGACTCTGCGCATGGGTGATGATGCATGCTTTTTTATTCTTATAAGACACTGCTTCACTAGAATCCTATCTTGTTTTGATAAGGCTCTAGATGGTAAATTGTATTTAGTATACGTAACCAAAGCCTATTTGTCTTTGATTTGAAAATACCCAGATTGTAATTAGATGGAAAGACTATCACAAATTAAATGATTTCAAAAGGAAAGATAAGCCCATCTAAATATTTTACTCATAATATAAAAGTAGCGCATGTGTCATTATAGTTTGTTCGCGTTAAGAAAATAGTGAGTCATCGTTGTCCGCCGGCCTGGCCACGCCCCCCAGTCAAATAAAATGCAAGAAATTAGAAAGTCGAGTTCACAGTGACCAGTTGAAGTCAGGCCTTCGAACAAAACAGTTGTGTATTTTGTGTGTTAGTCGTTCAACATTAAATTTTGAAAATGAATACCTCATCTATTCGAAAGAAAGGTTAAAAGTGGACAACATTAAAAGTGGATCAATAATCCATAGCGGAGAGAGACGCGTAATTTACAATGTTTATAAGTACTTTAAACTGTGTGATTTAAATGCGACTGCGGAGAGCACAGTAATAAAAACAGCAAGTGCATGTGGTGTGTCCGAAAATACTGTTTATAAAATTATAAAAGAACAAAAGGATACTAACACATTAAAATCATCCGTGAAAAAAATGCTCGACTATCGACGGTCGATAAATTAGATGAACTAGACAAATGTGCAATAAGGAGAAAAGTTCACTCAATATATTTAAATAACGACTACCCGACATTGGACACGATTATGACACTTTGCGAAGCTGACGAAGATATTCCTGTTTTCAAACGTACCACACTTCATTAAATAATGCACGAGCTTGGTTTCGATTTCAATAAACAGGATAGCAGAACATTGTTAGTCGAAAGAGAAGATATTGTTTTCTGAGGCAAATAAAAGAATACAGAGCCGCTAATAAAACCATTTACTATCTTGACGAAACGTGGGTAAACGCCGGACACGTAAAGACAAAAGCATGGTTGGATACAACGGTAAAAAATAAAAGACAAGCCTTTCTGGATTATCTATCTTATCAGCCGGTCCAAAAGCCCCGACAGGAAAAGGTAAAAGGTTAATTGTATTGCACATTGTCAGCGACAAAGGAGTCGTGGAAGATTGTCTACTAGTATTTGAATCTAAGTCTACAAAAGACTATCATGAAGAGATGGATAGTGAAAGATTCCTTAATTGGTTCATTAATATAATGCCTAAGCTAGAACCAGGAAGTGTGGTTGCCATGGATAACGCTCCTTATCATTCGGTAAGAGTCGAAAAAATACCAACAACCATCTGGAAAAGCAGCAAATAATAGATTGGTTGGATTTTATTTAAAAAAAGAATTATTAATGAAAGTTGCCGATATCGCCCCACAATATAATAAATATTTAATAGATGAGACTGCCAAAAGTAATGGCATTACAATTTTTCGCCTACCGCCTTACCATTGCAAACTTAATCCAATTGAATTGGTTTGGGCCCAAATAAAACATTATGTTGGTGCCAATAACTCTACGTTCAAAATGAGTGACATAAAAAAATTATTAGATGATGCAATAGCATTAATAGACGCTAATCGTTTGAAGAAGTGCTGCGACCACGTGATACGCGAAGAAAATACCATGTGGAATTTGGACGACATCATGGAACTTGCAGAACAAAATTCTTTCATGCACGCACAAAATGAAGAATTTCAGAAAAAGATTACATTGATGGAGAGTCATATCAAAGAAGACAGGCAATACATATTATATCTCGAGCAAAAAATAGAAGATCTTCAAACAGGGAGCCGAAAAACAAATTTTGAGATTAAAAATGTGCCCAAGAAGGAAAAAGAGAATAAGCAGGACCTGATCGATATGGTTGTGTGCCTCTCAGACACCATAGACTGTAAAATAAACAAAGGTGACATTAAGGATATCTACAGATTAAAAGGGAAAAACCCAGACCAAAAAAGTACACCTATTATAGTAGAAACATCGTCGGCCCTGCTGAAAGCGGATGTACTTAAAATGGCTAAGTCTTTCAATGTAAGAAATAAGACGAAATTGTGTGCAAAACATCTTGGTTTAAAAACGAATGAAGACACGCCCGTTTTCCTGTCGGAACACTTGACTGCTAAAGGGTCTCGACTTCATTATTTGGCGAGAGACTTAGTCAAGTCCAAGAGATATAAGTTTTGCTGGACGGCGTACGGAAAAGTGTATGTGCGAAGAAATGAACAATCGGCTATTATTCCAATAAAAAGTGAGGAACAGGTACACAATTTGCTGTTACAAGACTGACTATTTATTAATAATACTTTTAATTATTTATTACTTAGTGCCATAGATGTATTTCTTTTGCATGCTATTTTAAATCCATATATTGTAGACATTTTGCTAGAATACCATTCATATGTTAACTACATAAAAATGTTGCCGTGCATTCTGCAGAGTTTCTCGCTGCCGAATGATGATACAACTATTTGTCTTTTTAACTTAAGTCACGCTTTGGCGCTGTTATTATGCTTACCCAAGTGCTACGCATACAATTCATTTAATTATTTGCATGAAGTCCAGCCTGAAGGACACTCACATACTACATCACGCATAAACACACAAACTTACGCGCACACATATACACACACATATTCACTTACACTTAAATTTATATATATTCCCATACATCTGGTTGCAAGCATTCACACATTCATAAAATATTATTACATACTGCAAAACCCCAGGTCTTACTTCTACCATTCTAACATATATGCATATTACATAAGCCCGATATCTATCTTGAACGAAACTTCAAATTTAAATCATATCCGACATCCCCATATTAATATGACTAGTTTTTACCTACAATTACAAAATGGGTGACACAATCAACACAATAAATGATTTGGACGCATTAGAAATTGCTCGCTCATTTGAATGTGATATTTCAGAATTAAAAAAATGTATTGAAGTAAGAAAAAATGATTTCACCATGATCTCTCAAAATATACGCAGTGTATATAAAAACTTTGATGACTTTCAACTAATATTATCAAACCTTGAATTTGAAGCAGATGTCATTACTTTAACTGAATGCAGATTAGACCAAAACAAACCTATTCCACAAATAACTAATTATCACTCTTATTTCACTAAAACTCAATTAAATCAAAACTCTGGTGTAGTCGTTTATATAAAAAGTAATTTAAAACATAAAGTAAGTGAAATAAAATTAGCTCAAGCTAATTGTCTTCAACTCGAAATATTAAATAATACCATTCTGTGTATCTATCGTTCTCCTTCCTATATTAACGCAGATGACTTTATCGATTCCCTAAGTACTCACTTGGACTCTCTAAACTCTTCTAAAAGTATAATAATTGCGGGTGATATTAATATCAACATAACAATCAAGTCTATAGAACCACCATATGAATTAAAAGATCGCATCAATTACTTAAATATGCTGGCAGTGTACGGTATACTACCTGGTCACACAATCCCTACCAGGGAAAAAAATTGTTTGGACCATTTTATGATGAAAATGAATAAAACCAAATTCCATGCAACAATAGCTGTATTACATACTAGTACTACGGACCACTTTACCACATTTCTTTCGATATCAAAAATAAAATACCATCAAATAGCAAGCAAAACTAGAACAATTGTAAATTATGAAGCTGCTGCGCTAGACCTTGAAACTAAAAACCTCACAGAATTGCTCTACTGCAATGACCCGGATGCTGTGATAAATGGTCTAGTGTATAGTCTAAAGGAGATAATTAAAAACAATACTGTCGTTACAACTATACCTAAAAAAAATCGTAACATTAAGCCATGGATCACGCCTGGAATTCTGCGCTGTATCCGAAATCGAAATAAATTGCAAAAGAAAGTAAAAGACGACCCCTACAATGAACTTAATAAAATTATATATATTAGATATCGAAATTATTGTAACAATCTTATTAAAAAACTAAAAAGACAATATGAAAGAGAATTATTGAATAAATCTATTAATAATAATAAAAAATTATGGAAAAATATTAAAAATATTACCTTTACCAGTATGAGTAATAATAACAATAATATAGATCTACTAAACGTCATGCCCTCTCCAGCTGCATCTGCGGATTACGTAAATCACTTTTTTGCAAATATAGGGAGACAACTGTCTCAACAGGTACAGCTGTCTCAAGAGGAATTGAATGATTATTTGCGTAACTTACCAACTCAGTCAAACTCTTTTGTTTTGCTTGACACTGATCAGGATGAGGTGTCTAGTACACTACTGTCACTAAAAACGAGCAGTACCCCTGGCTGGGACAACATTCCTACCATATTTCTCAAGCGTGTGAGACTTCAAATTGTACCGATCTTAACTCATTTCATAAATCTTTGTTTTCACAAGGGGACCTTTCCATCGCTATTTAAACAGGCTATCATTACTCCAGTTCACAAATCAGGGGGATAGAGACAGTGTAACTAATTATAGACCGATCTCTGTCTTGCCCGCCATTTCTAAGATAATGGAAAAGTTGCTCAATTCGCGGTTACTTAACTATCTGAACAGATACAATATTTTATCTCCCTCTCAGTATGGTTTTAGACAGGGAAGATCGACTGAAGACGCAGTCTCTGCGTTGAGCTCGCTGGTGGTTGAGAAACTTGATAGTCACAAAAAATGCATGGCAGTATTCCTTGACTTACAAAAAGCGTTTGACACTGTCTCTATCCCTATCCTGCTGCGTAAACTGGAAGCAATTGGTATGAAGGGTACACCACTTAATTTGCTCAAGGACTACCTGTCTAATAGGAAACAGAGGGTAAAACTTGATTCCTTCATTAGTGAAGACTCGGAAGTGACATATGGTGTACCTCAAGGTAGTGTCCTTGGGCCTACTCTTTTTCTCATTTACATTAATGACCTTTGTGATATGAAAACAAAAAATGCTCAAATCCTTTCATACGCTG